GAATCTCTCATTCCCAAGATGGTGACAGACTTTACTTTCTTTATATTTTTCACTTGAGCCAAAAGGTTTAACTGCCAAATGTGTCATTGAAACGTTATATTGAATTACACTGATCGATTTAGGCTTAGGAGGATGTAATGCTATAAATCATTTTCATTTGTCATCACAAACCTTTATCCTTCACACATACCTGTATGAGAAACCAGAGGGAGAGAAAAAAAGGACGAAGCAGACCCGGCTGTCAGGAAATCTTGAAAGACTACACTTAGAAAACGACACCTAAACGGTTAAAGAAACAGATCGGATTCTATCGGAGTAACAGCACGAAGTGCCAAACCCAGACCTCGTACCAGGCAGCGGCATGGTGCTGACTCTGCAGCTCCGCAGGCGTCAGTGCTCCCGCGCAGGTTTGTGATGGCCTCACCTGCTGAGACACGGGCTTCAGATCGTGCTACTGAGTCCACCACGTCCTGGACTCCATCAAGCTTTCCTCCCTCTACTCACTGCAGGACCCCCCAGCGTGTACTGCGTTTCTGATCACCACTGAGACTGGAAGTGGAAAAACTTCAGTTGGTTCCCTCCTTTTTTTAAAGTTTTTAAATCATTTTTGAAGGTGCTCTTGGACATCTGTGACATCTCTGATGATGTAATCTGCTGCTATTTCCAACCCGTCGTTGAGGGACAAGTCGTGTCACACAAGCTAATGAGGTGTCAGAACACCTCAGGAGCACAGGAAGGCTGAACACCAGGACAAGAAGGAGGTTAGAGATAGCGAATGACTTCCCGCTGATCCGTGAATGAGATTTCACTTGGCACATGTAACAATCCTTCACAGTGGCGAGGACAGGTCTTGCTTTACCAGCAGGCTTTACCAATGGGAAACCTAATTCCGCTCCTGAAGGAAAGGACTGCTAACATTAATTAAAAGCGATTTCTTTAAAAAATCTATCAAAAGAATGATCAAACTTTAAAGAAACTTTAAAAAAAGAATCAGACACGAGGGACAGACATTCCTAGAAGGGTATTTCAATAGTGCAGATTATTTGCTTTGCATGCTAATCCATGCATCCTAATTCAAATGATCTTTTTTCTTCTTATTCAGCATGACAGCTCACCACTTCCACTCTCGTCAAGTTCCACAACACAACCAGAGACTCACCCCCCCCCACCCACCCCCATGTATGCAAGCTCATAGTGGTATTTGGCCAGTCACCTGCAGTTGAACCCCTTGCTCTTACAGTGCCAAATAGCCTAGATCCCGGTGTAGGTCTCCTGGGAAAGACGTTATCTCCTGCTTCTCGATGTCCCCAGACACCATCTTGTGACAGTGGTGCGGACATTCTGGAAAGTCGAGATGAATCAGTGCCACCTACTGGCTCACTGACACCACTAACGGTGAGCTCTTCGACGTAGGCTCTGCAGGTTTTTGGATGTTAGGAATGTCATTTCCCGATTTCAGTTTGAAGCCCTTTCTCAAGGTCTGGCCTGTGACTGCAACCAGAGCAGGGCTGTCATATTTGTTTTCTGCACCATGGCAGCTGCCCGAGAAACATCTTCCAAAATCTTTCACAGGTGATGTCTTGACACTAGAATGTTAAAATCATCAATTTGTGGACCAGGCAGCTTTACAGGTGGCAAGTGATAGATGGGTACAGCTTGTTTCATTCAAGAATGTCATTCCCCACGTTAGACATTTTGGAAAACCGCTTTGACACCATACCACATGCATCACTTTTTGCACAATCCAAGACGGGAATCAAGATGAAACATAACCCTGATGTGGGGTTATGGTTCATCTTGAAAGTTAAGGGCAACGTGCTGGGACAGAGGTCATCCAAGTTGATGGATTGTCTCCATTCTGAAAATGTATCTCTGATCCTCCAGGGGAAAGCACTCGTGAAGTAGCCATTAATGTACAGTATTCTTAGTACCTTATATTCAATAATAATACTATTCAGTTACATATAGCTTTCAAACCTAATTATGGTAGCAATTATTTTGAATATACCTCATCAAATGAAAGCGTTCCATTTTCATTGCAAATTCATATTTATTCCCCTTTCACCTTTTTGTAGCTTTACCGCATTAGATGAAAAGTAGAGAAACGCTGACTTTGGGGAAAAAAACAGGACAACTGGGCCTGTTCTGTGAACAGAGTAAATAACCAAGTGGACAGCTGATCATTTCAATCCTCCACAGCACTGCAGCCTCCCGCTTCACAGCCAAAACAGGCCGCTGAGGTTCAAAGTGCATCAGAAAGAAGTGTTTCAGTGGGCGAGATTCTTATTGAAGGTAATTTTTATTACAGTCAGCTCTTGAAATGCAGTTTACAATAACTAATTCATAAAAATGCTTAAAATACAACAAAATTGCAATTATTTAGGACTTGCAAGGACTTTTTTCGTACACAGGAATCGATTAAATCACCTGATTAGCAGTACAAACTTTCCTTCCCCAAATGGAAACCTACCATTAAATACTGGCGTTTGAAAGCCTTAAATCCAGACCAAGCCAGCACTAACAACCCTTCAAAATTAGAAAAGAGCATTCCCCTCTCACTCCCATTAAAACAAAAGCATGAGAAGATGAAGGTTGACCTGTTGAAAGTTTTTATTGTTAATATTGACAGACAACTAAGAGACCAAGGCAGGAACAATGAAAAACCTAAGCTACTCAATAAGAGAAAGTACATGTCGAGAACCTAACTTTCGGCTTAAATTGAAAGCCAAGCCTTTTATCAAAGCTTGACTTTGAAGAGAGACTCAAATGAAACAGAACCCATGTAAAATCTGGATCATAGTTTCTCGGATGTTACTCTCCAAGTAAATGTGAATCAAATCCTTCAGCCCTTTACTGTTGCAAGAAAAGGGGAGACAGCACAAATGAGCTTCTGGGAAAACAGACTAATTCAAGTCCACATTGTCTGTTCTCTTGGCAGTGCTTTTTCAAAAGGAAACCGAAAGGATTTAGTTAATGGGAAATTAATAATGTCTGTCAAATCACATCTAATATAGTGGGAGAAGGAACAGGAGAGTAGACATGGAAAACACACAAACCCAGGCCACATTTTTATTTTTAAAGCTATGAGGAATCAGTGTACTTTATCATGGATTTACATTTTATTACACTATAAAAACTACTTAAGTAGCTAAAACATACATTTAAAACAGTCTTGTACCAAGCAAAGCTAAATTGTTTTCTAACCCCTATCATCTTTCCTATTTATTTTAATTTATGTTTTATTTTTTAGCTCTTATTTAGCTCTTAACCCATAATAGCAGGAACTTCTGTTTTCTTTACAATCTGCAGATCGCTGGAACAAGACGCAGATTACTCTCAGGCCTCTTCAGCTGCTACAGCTGGGACTAAAGAACTGCACTTCCTCTGAGGCAGGTGGGCCAGTGGGAAAGAGACAAAGTTTACAACATGTACACCTTCAAGTACTCTGCTAAATCAGTTTACAAATGACTTACTAAACAAATGTGAGACTAATGTAAGACTTATCCCACCTGCTGCAGGCAAGTGACACAAAGATCTGAATGCAATAACATAAGAAAAGACCCAGGCCTTGCAGGAGCATGATCTTCCACTGGGCAGGTTCTCAGATTCACATTTTGAACATGCGTTGACTGAAATCCGTACACTTGAGAACAGCATCACAGAAAGATCAGCAGCTTGCATCTTCTATTGTGATAAATTTATGACGTGAGGTATTAATCAAGGAGATGAGGCACAGTTTGCTAGCTGGATGATTATTATCACACAACACTTATAACCCCTGAACTAAAACAAAGCCTCTCTGGCTTTTTAACCCAAGAAATAGAAGTGCCTCTGGTTTAAATATACCTTATATACACCTGAACAATGAACAAGAAATTGACAATACGTAACACATCTATTCCATTCAAGCCTTTTTTTAAATTCTGCCAGATGGAGGTTTTAAAACGGTTCTAACAGCCAACTGGGCTTCTTCCGCAGGTCCAGCACCGGAGAACAAGAACAGCTTTTGTGAAAATGTGAGAAGCGCCAACTGACTGGCTT